TTCGGATGGAAATTGATGAAACCTTCAGCGATGTTCACATTTTTGTTTTCATAATTTTTTTTTAGCCTACTACATCAACCGTGTATAGGATGTTGTTGAAACAACTTGATTGAAGTTTATGTGTTATATCCCGATAAGAATAATGAATGGTAACCGTTAGAATCTATTTCTGGACTAATACTATACGTGTATTTTTATCGTATAACTGTTAAGTAATTCAACTACTCATATTCGTGTCTCTCTTTTTGTGAGCTTTATTGTGACCCATGAACTATTATTATGCGGTTTACCATTCTTGAGTTATATCCAGTCTATCAATTACTATCTCCCATTTTCACAGCCACTTTTGGCTAAATCTTATACAAATGTTATTTTCTATTTTATGGTACAATGTAATCTGTTTGGTTTGTATATAAAGGCAGTAAATTTGAAGTACATGATTCCTATTGTAGAGGCTGAGATTGGTGTTCTGAACTTAATAGGCAGAGGTAAGCAGTAATTAAAACCGATAAGGACTCTAGATTGCTCATACGGGTTTTATGCATCATCGGTCCGATCGATAAATCACTGTTCACTAATATAACACAGGTAATTATAACAATAAGCTACTAATTATTTTGTATTTGTTGTGCCGAAAAAAAAGATCACTTATATTCGGAACGAGGGACCTCAGCCATTCCCGGGATGCGAAAGTAAGAACAAAAAGATTGGTGTAAGTGAAGATTTATTAGCTCCAAACACTATGACAACGGCGAATCGAATATAGTCTAAAATACATTGGTTTATGTATTGATTGTTCACCCATTTTGATTAATAATTAGGATTAAATCATACTCAGTTATAACAAATCACTTACTAAGCATAGATCATGTCAACTGAATACAAGAATATCGTATATTATATAGAAGAAAATATCATACTGGGAAAACAAATCAAATACTACACTGAATGATCCCCATGTTGAATCGAAACGGATGTCAATGTTGAATAAAACTTATAATGAGTAAATCAATCGAAAATTGACTTTTACTTGCATCATATCAAGCAATAATTAATCTACTGGGTATAACTCCGATCCAAATAGTATTCTCCTCTTAACAATTGCATAATGTTATAATGTTGTTGTTTTTTTTCAAAAAATGAGTTTAGCTCCTATTCAACAGGAGAATGAACTAAACTAAAGGAAATAATTTCTTAAATTCATTATTACTTTATATTACAAATAAAATAAAAACTAACATTCAACAATAAAAACATCTTACTAGATGAATAGAATCAGAAAGAAAAAAAAAAGAAGAATTTTGAAAATCAACTCATTAAATAGAAAAGAAAAACAACACTTAGTACGACTCTTAACATCCTTTGGAAATTAGGGAAAGTAATAATAATAATAATAATAATAATAATAATAATACTGACAAACGGAAATTGTTCCTAATTGAAAACCGGTGAATAAATAAAAAAGTTGTGTTCTTACGTGGTTTTTTTTATTTTTTTATTTTTTTTGGTTTTCAATTTTTATTTTTATTTTCGAAAAATTGAGGAGGTTGTCTTCAATTTAATTTTTTTTCTCAACACTTGTGGTTAATCGTCTATTTATTTATTTATCTATTTGATTGTTCTTTTCTTTTTTTTTGTTTTTTTTTGCTGGAAAATTCCTCTTGTTCATTTTTAAAATCACAACAATAAAATGATCTTAAATGAACATTGAATAGTGTGTTTGTTTACTGGTTTGCTGGTTTGTTTGTTTCTGTGTGCGTATTTGTGTGTGTGTGTGGAGGGGGAAGGGAAATAACAACAGGGTGAACAAAAGAACAAACACAATACAACTTACTAAAAGATAATAGAAAAATATTAAAAAAAAGTTTTTTGCGTAACTTTCTTTTCTGTTCAAAAATGATTAAGAATGATTTTTTTGTGTGTGGTTTATTATCTTTTTGATTACATAATGGTTAAGAAGGTTCTTACAATAATGATGAATCAAATTGAATAGATAATAGTGATAATACAAATTGGCGAATACTCATCAATTCGTAATGTGTATTTAATAAAATAAGGAATAATTGCTTAGTAATAGATAAATGGTAATAGTAATGAAAAGATATTTCAAATTAGTTAGTTGTATTACTGTTTTTTTCGTTGTTGTTAATGAAATCAACTAGTGAACTACTTAATAGTCAAGAAGAAACCGCTATATAACTTAAAGTAACTGGGTTTTTTTTTCAATATAAAACTTCATTTCAATGGTTGAGTCATGAGTCATTTGAAGCTAGAACAATGTGAAAAACATGGAAGGAATGGACGACCGTTTCGTCATATGTTGTGGAACTCCTTAACTGTCCGCATCCACAATTGCGTCTCACGAGATTCGAGCCCAGGAGCTATTAGTCTTGTGCGTGAGCGCTTAACCACAATAAGAATAAAAGGCTAACTAGTGCTAGTCCTAGAATACACTATATCAAACAAGATTCTACTGAATCTTTACATAAAAAATTAACATTAATTAGGGACTTGTTATGGAATTCTATATGGGAAATACAATACACCAACATAAGTAAATAATATCGAAGAGAGTGATAAAATTGCGAAATTGCAAAATTCTAGTGACTTTATATAACTAGTTCGCTGGTTGATGGTAGTTTACAGAAACCTCTGTTCGACGTAGATCCCATTTTAGTTGAAATTCATCAATAACGAATATTACAATTATGAGGATAAATTTTATTCCTTGTAAAATTGAAACTTATGTTACCAAGTATTACATTTCCAATGTTCTATTAAGCGAAACAGATACAAAAGCACTTTGATACAATTCTGTTTTGATTTACTGAATACAAAAGAACACTGATTTTCTAAGAAATTCCACTGTAGTGAACGACAACACCAAGTGGGAACAATCAAATGTACATGAATACAAAATAAAATCAGAGAACCTTACAGTAAGTACTTAGTTTTCAAAATATCCCTCAATTGTCTCAAAATTCACTGTTCCTTTTACAAAATGTCAATCAATCATCTCAGACTTCTTTGTTCTTTCATTTCCACACCAATTATTACTTGTTCTCGTTCTCTTTTCTTTGGTCTTCTTAACCCTTATGCCGATAGACATTTCACTTTTGATTGATGATACATACTACTTATATCTGTTGATTACAGTGGCACCCACCACACTACCATGTTTATCATAAGTGTTTTCTTAGTTTGTTTGTTTTTAAACTGGTTACATTAGAAGGGTCTACCAATTTAAACTAATGATTGAAATATTCATAATAATAAGGTAAAACTAAGAACGAAAAGAAAACAAATTTCAAAGCTATGTGATATATTTATCTATAGACAGACAAACCACTTAATTATGTGATACAATCTTATCGATAATAATAGGTTGAATAGAAAATCGATCATTTTCCCCATAGTTTCATCCACGTTTAACAGTCATAATAATAAGTTACTGATTTTTTTTGATTTCACAATCGAGTTTATCCTTATTTTTATATGTATTCGACTTGTATTTTAACTATTAAGATAAATAAAAAAACAGGCAAATGACAAAACTGGTTCGGTTATTGAGGGATAGAGAAATTAAAGAGAGTAAGTAAATGAAAAAAATATGATAACGGCTTCTCATCAGAACGCTAGGAGTATCTCTTGAAGTCAGTCACTAGTGATCAGATGATTATTATCAGAAGGGGTCTTGTGGAGATATTAAAAATTTCACTGGTTGAAATCATGAGTAAATTGAAGCCAGACCAACATAGAAAACCTGGAAGCACTGGACGGCCGTTTCATCCTAGCATGGGACTCTTGGGTTCGAATCTCGCGGGGTGTGGGATCGTGGATAGGCACTGCTAAAGACACACATTGAGGAAATCACCTATTTGCGTCATAAGACAAGCCCTTTCCTGGAATCCTGAAGGTCAAATGAAAAGAGGAAGACCAAAGAACACGTTACGCCGAAAAATGTAGACAGACATGAGAAAAATGAACAGCGATTGGATGGATCTAGTAAAGAATGTCTAGGACAGAGTGGGTTGGAGAACGCTGGTTAGCGGCATATTCTCCATTGGGAGTAACAGGCGTAAGTAAATTTAAAATACTGATCGTTGATTGAATGTCATAAGAACAGAGAGAGTGATAAGTTGATGATTGTCACTCTTTGAGTGATTAAGTAATATAATAATTATCATTGGTAATTTATGCAAACTTGTATGGGGATAATTAAACTCTTCTATCTCATATTTATAGAAAGATCTTAAATACTCATCATTTGTTTAATAAACCTGGTAAATGACGTGCTACACCCTGACGTATTTTGAACAGTAGAACAGAATTGTATGAAAGATATATTCTTGTATACATGTAATACGTTTCGATCTCAACACTGCCAGTTGTTTCGATTAAGATAATGCTGAAATTCTTACTAAGTTGTGAGATCTATTGAAATATTATGTTACTATATAATATGCATGCTGAAGGTGATGAATTATTTTAACTTTTTTCAAAAATAATCACGTACTCGTGTTTGATTCTATGTACATCTTGAGTCAATAAAAGAATTTCATTGAGATCATGAATCGATCAATGTTTTTTGAATTTCATTTGTTACTGATTACCCAGTGAAGTTCTGTAATAAATAATTTATGTCAAAGCACGTTTGACAGACTTTTATTGAAAGTCTTAGGCTCTTAGAAGTTTGACTTTTATTGTTGGTAATTTAGCAGGTAAAGTGATGGTTAGAGGTAGGCGAAAAAACTCTCGGCCAAGGTTTCGTGCTTTTTGGTGATTTACGACAAGGTATATCAGTAATTTTGTAGAAATCAATGCCTTCTGGAAGATCCGATCCCGTGTCACTCTGCTTCACAGTTGAAGACGTTACTATTAAGCGATATGGGAAGCAGATGACATCCTATAGATATGACACAGGTTTAAGACGAATGGTTTCTTTTAATTGCCATCATGTTTATTAACCATATATTTTGTAAGAACTGAGATAGTCTTGCATGTGCGGGCTATATAGTGTGATATTCGTACATTCTGTACTTAATTTCAATCATAAAATTATTAGTTTTTCATCATCATCATCATCATCATCATCATCATCATCATCATCATCATCATCATCATCATCATCATCATCATCATCATCATCATCATCATCATCATCATCATCATCATCATCATCATCATCATCATCATCATCATCATCATCATCATCATCATCATCATCATCATCATCATCATCATCATCATCATCATCATCATCATCATCATCATCATCATCATCATCATCATCATCATCATCATCATCATCATCATCATCATCATCATCATCATCATCATCATCATCATCATCATCATCATCATCATCATCATCATCATCATCATCATCATCATCATCATCATCATCATCATCATCATCATCATCATCATCATCATCATCATCATCATCATCATCATCATCATCATCATCATCATCATCATCATCATCATCATCATCATCATCATCATCATCATCATCATCATCATCATCATCATCATCATCATCATCATCATCATCATCATCATCATCATCATCATCATCATCATCATCATCATCATCATCATCATCATCATCATCATCATCATCATCATCATCATCATCATCATCATCATCATCATCATCATCATCATCATCATCATCATCATCATCATCATCATCATCATCATCATCATCATCATCATCATCATCATCATCATCATCATCATCATCATCATCATCATCATCATCATCATCATCATCATCATCATCATCATCATCATCATCATCATCATCATCATCATCATCATCATCATCATCATCATCATCATCATCATCATCATCATCATCATCATTATCATCATCATCATCATCATCATCATCATCAGGCTTAACTCTAACAAACGTGAATGTTTATACGAAAATATTAAAATCAAATAAGGCAATTTATGTGTCTATGATCGCAATGTAATAGATCGTATTAATACACGTAAAAGATAGAAAGTACGAATTAATAGTTAGAAGGTAGGTATACTAGGAAGTTGTTAATAGTTCAATACAAGAGTTATGTCGAACATTGTTAGATAGACTTAAAAATAATAACCATTTATATCATGAAATGTGCATTATAAGACGTTTGTAAATAATGAAATACTGAATAATATAGACGGGAAAACGTGGGAAACAAATACGTTATGCGAAAAAATTAATGAAATCTTTTGTTAAGTCATAACCGTCTAAGAGACAGGATTGTCGCGAATATCTTCCGGACACCCAAATTATGGTTATTGGTTTGGATTCATACAGCATCTGTAGGAAATGGGATTGAACTTAGCTGAGAAAAGGGGAAGGTATACTATAGACCACTTGAAATGATTCAATTTCATCTATCATACGTCCACTGTCAGCTAGGCGTGCCAAGATTTAGTTACGTAACTTCTTTGTCTAGCAATTTCCAAATCGAACTGAGAGATGTTCAACCAGTTGTTGGTTAAGCTACCTAATATTACACTCATAATAGTTATCTCTCATGGAGATAGTTACAATATTAATTACATGGATCGACTGTGTATGGCATGTGGTTATTATTAATTTTTACCAGTAAACTGAATTATTTATACAAGTTTCAAACATAGTCATACTTGTAGAGTATTTTGTTTGTGGTATTTTTGTTGCAATGTTTAGTGCAAATAATTTGAAGTTTAAGGTGATATTTCTAATCAATTCACATCAACCAAGTCACTAGTGGACTACGTTTTTTTTTTTAATGACAAATCTTAACAAAACGTTCATATAGTCAATCGTGTTAAGACAAGTTCACGAGATCCTAATATTCTGTTGGAGTGAACGAATCGTTACCAATTACATTAGATAGTCATTAGATTATATCGCTAACTAATTAGAAATATCAAATGCTGGTCAAAACACCGAACGGTTTCTAATTTAACTTTTAGCAAGTTTATATCTAGGTACTACTGAAACCTATAATTTGTCAAAATAGTTGCCTACTGCTTATGATCTTTAAAATTTATAAACTAATCATTTATATAGAAGATCGAACATATGTAGAGTAGTATAGATTCTTGAAACCACCCCCACCCCATATTATTTTTTTGTTCTTATTTTGTTAGCTCGATACATTATCACTAAAGTCTTTATTGAAATTCTATCACCAAATCGTACATTAATTCTTATTAACTTGATTTTATTGAAAACACTTCCGTTGAATTTTGAAAGAAAGAAAGAAACAAACAAACAAACATTCCTTTGAAATGGGGTATTATTTTCTTAAAACTTAAAATCGTGACTAATATTCATTGATACAAGTCAAACAATTTTCTTTCCATTTATTACACACAAACAAAGAAATTGTAACCACTTTCTTTTTTTTTCCTTTTTTCTTTCCATTTTTTTCTTCCTTTTTTTCTTCTTTTACTAGAAAACTGTTGTTTCAATGCGCTCATATTAAATCAAAAATTACACAATTGATAAATAATTACATAGTTGCATGCAGTTTGTAGATTAACAACATATAACTATAAATAAATATTAAATATAAATTTAACATTTTCATTAGTTTGTTTTAAAAGACATATGTTATTATTATTTATTATTTTAATGCATGGATATTGATACAAAGAGGCACCAAATAGATATGCGCCACACAAATCTCATTTCATGAGATTTGTGTGGGGGCTGTGATACTGCCAGGGTGCCCAAACCAAAGTAGGTGATTTTCTTAGGGGGCCACTCCTTGAGCCTTTGACCTGAAGGTCTGATCGACAAGGCAGCGGAGCATCGTAAGGAGATGCAGTCCGGTGACCAAAGATTGGTTCATACGCCATTTATTCCTTCAGGATCCTGGAGCCCATGTGCACCAATGGTTTGAAATCGGGGTTTTTTTCAACTCCCCTAGGTGGACTCTCCATGTCCATCAACCCAGTTAAACCGCCAGCTACTCGCTTTTCGTCCTCTCAATTTCGTAAACAACACCCTCGCCACTAGAAGGCAGTGAGTAGGACAAATGCTATATACGCGTGGCCATTTGAGAGCATTTTGAGAGGGAGAGTGGACTCCCTCCACTCTCGGCCGTACCAGGGCATAAATAAATAAATAGAAGTAGATAATAAATATAAGCAGATTGCCCAGCATAGGGTTGGATGGTGAATGCTGGTGGGTGACCTATATTCCTCGACAACAGGTAAAAAGTGTAAGTAAGTAGTGAGTAAGCGAAATGATTATTTATTAGTTAATAGTGTTTTGATTTCATAGTTTACAATTGAATTTTATAAAGAATAATATTTTTAAGGTTGACTAAGTTCATTATGATTGAAAGAACAAGAGAAAAATAAATGTACAAATGAATTAATTAAGCATTAACTTCAACTGTATTTTGAGTTTTTTTCCATAAATTTTTAGTTTAACCTACATCTTTATTGTTATTTTTTTCAATGGTTAAGATGATGAGTCAGTTGAAGCTAGACAACCATAAAAAACCTAGAAGCGTTGGACAGCCGTTTCATCCTATCGTGGGACTCCTCAGCAGCGCGCATCCAAGGCCTCGCCCCTGCGAGATTCGAACTCAGGACCTACTGGTTCCGCCATCACCAGACCACTGGACCAGCATCCAGCGGTGTTAGTGTCTTACTTCAACTAATCCACGAAATAGAGCGATACATCCAACATTGTCTTCAGTGAGTTACTATCTCACAACAGACCTGGTTGAAGTGCACTGGTCACTACTCGTCACAAGAATGTTCAATTAAAATTATAACAGTTAAGTGATTTTTATGATTAGATACCTGTGTGAGACTAAAAGGGATACTTGTTCAATGGTATAGTGGTTAGGAGCTCGCTCTAAAGACGAGAGCTCCGTGTTAGACCCCTGACTTAGTCATGAAGGAGTATTTTTGAGTTATCGTATATTGGGAGGAAACATGTCTTCAGTACTTTATGGTTATCTGATATGACAGGATGAAAAGGCAAAATGAAATTCTTTACTCATTGTGATTTTTGTTCAATAGTACTTTGTTTTAAATTCCAAATGATAAGTACTTAGTGTACTAATTGTTTTGCTTACCTTTGTGATATTTTTGTTCTGTATAAGATACAATAATCTTGTATTAAGTCAACATGAATTATCCTTAGCATAACATGCAGCAAGTGGTTTGTTGAAAACTCTGAGTATTCTTCATATATGTGATTTTATCCTATTTAATAATCAAAATAGTTGTACAATCAACACATAAATGAGTGTACTTTCGACTAGGGTCGTTGTCGTGTTTTTCAGGTTAATAAAATTTTCATATGTGCCATTATTTGTGTTCTTACTTCCGCTTCATGGGAATGGCAGTGATTCTATGCTTTACAACTACAAGTGATAAGTTATTCTGACATAACAATCAGCGACGATGAGATATAACTATTGCTGACGCAGTCATAATAGCTGATCACCAATCATAACATTCTCAATATTTGTCTTGAGATCAGTCAATGATGTAAACTATGATATTTGGCATTCTCTACAAACGTTCTAAACTGAAAGATAATAAATACTGATGTGAAAACAACACTGGTAAATAATCATGAACTTAAAATATTTTTTACAAGTTATAAATTACGATATGCCAAAGTGACTGGAATATTTAATTCAATTGAACTAGGTGATACTTGGTTGTTACATGAAATACGTTTCTTCATTACTCGTCCAGTGCTTTCGGGTTTTCAATGATGATTTAACTTAAATCGACTCATGAAATCAACTGTGAAAATGCTGCAATGTGTGCAAATACCCAGATTGTTTTTATTCCTTAAATAAACATTTACATGAATTCTCTGAAGCATATAAGCTTCTATCCAATGAGTAAATTTATACTTACAGCTATTTAATACAAATTTAACACAGATTTCGCCTTACAATATTTGAACCCAGGACGCTTAACCTCTATACTACTGATCCGGTCGGCATCTAACGGTGTTAATACCTAACTTCAACCAATGCACGAAGTTGTGCCACCATCCACCGTTGTCTTCAATAAGATACTATCTCACAACAGAACTGGTTGAACTCCACTGATCACTGCTTCTCACTAGAACTCAATGGAATTCCTCATGAAAGCAGTCACTAGTGAGGATATGATGGTTATTATCAGAAGGATCATGGATGCGCACTGCTGAAGAGCCCCATACTAAGACGAAACAGTCGTCTAGTGCTTCCAAGTTTTCCATGATGGTCTAGCTTCAATTGACTCATGAATTCAACGATTACATTACTATGATATCCAAAAACCCCCTTTTGATAATTCAGAATTAATTCACAAAATTGGATTGATCATTTCCAGTGGAAATCAATATATAAATTTCATCCAATTCTAGTGTAGATATTCACATACTTTAACAACAGACGTTTTATCGTTTTCACGAAAATATTCATTAAATAGTTGAATAGAACATAATTACTGAAACTTTAAAACATTCTTATTATCCATATTACCATTTGAATATCACTGTCAAGAATTGTATAAATTACAATGATTAGTGAATAAGTAGAAATATACTTTTGATTAGATGAATGCCGCAATGATGAGATAAAATTGATGCTGTCACATTTTGTAAACTACATTGAATTCAACTATACAGTTATTAGAATAAGTGATAATCTATAGTGTAAAATATCTATGTATGATGTTATCATTACTGAAAAAGAAAGAATTTGCTATTTGGTATAGTTATATCAAATACTTCAAAGAATATTAAGGCAAATAAAGTTCGATAGTCTCTGTGTTGATTAAATCAAATTTATATGTAAATAGGAATTGGTAATATTAAATATTCATGTATTAAATTCACCTTGAAAATCTATGATGTGCCGTTGTTTGTTATGAGTTTATTTGCAACATTTCAAGACATTCACCATTGTAAATCACTAGCGTAGGTGATCTATGTTGGATGAGTTAGATAGGAATGGTGTGA